AAAAAATTTAGAGAAAATTTTGCTCATACAAGTACGATCACTATCATCTGTATCATGTAATATAACATTTTAATAATCTCCAATATATTGTTTTAGACGCACTGATCTTTTTACAGTGTTTTAACACAATCTAAAGTCTATCCCGATATGAGCGCGAATTAACGTGATGCTTTTAAAAAATATTAAAATACAGACAGTAAACACATTGACTAGATTCAAATAAAGTAAGAAAACAGTAAAAAACGTTATTATTCTCATCATTTTTTAAGTATTCATTTTTTATTTGTTTTTTATTTTTTAAGTTCAAGTGTCTACATATATGTGATAAACAGTGACTAGATTTGAAGGCAAAAATCACCTGCTTCAACGAATGTTTGAGAATAGCCCGGAGTTTGTTAGTTAAAGTCAATGTACATTTATGGCGTATGCCACGCCCAAAAAATCCGCCTTTTTTCGAAACTGAGTATGGAATCCTACGCAACTTCGATCTAATTCGAAGTTTGTTCGCAACATCAATAGAGCACAAGATATATATTTATATCTTGTGCTCTATTGATGACGCTTTTTTCCTACGATAGAGAGAGAAAAACATACGCATACTCCGCATATTATATATATCTTCTATACGGCCAGCTTTCAAGCCGTTTGACGACCAACACATAGCACCCTCACCAGGATGTGAATATGGCTCATTAAAAAGAATCTTTTCATGTTTTCTTTTCTTTTTTCTGTTGTCTAAAACTTTTCTTTAATAAATATATAAAATAATATACTGAATCATTTGTGCAAATAAATCGTTATTTTAAGCAAATATATAAAAGATATACCTATGATACAGACACTATTTTATCCTAGACCATGGATGTCTATAGTTTTTAGTCACAATGAGAAGGAGAAGTGGTAAAATTACCCTTATCGACAACTCTGGTTACCACTAGCAGTTTCACTTTTGAGTCACTTTCAGTATTATGAATGTTACAGAAAAAAGATCAGAGTATATTCTGATATAAACACAGCAATAGAATTTAAATTCTATTTTCTATTTATTTTCTATTTTCTATATTTTTGTCTAATTAGACAATTCTACATCTTTTGAGCCTTGGAAGAAATCCGCATACAAAGTTTAACTTGACAAAAAAAATGTCTTACAAATGTGTTCGATTAGTTCCGAGTCACTCGTTAGATGATGAGACGAAAAAGGTTACTTTATTACTAGTAACAAGTAACAAATTTTTGTTACTTTACTTGGTAAAGTAACACCGAGTAATAAGTAATGAACCACCCCCTACTGATAAGGAAGTATCTGGAAATATTTGTTAGCTATACATCACGTTAAGAGAAGAGTCATAACTTAAAAGACATCTAATGCAATTCAAAAATTTTTCTAAAATTTCAAAAACACCTGTTTTCCAAAAAGAATTTGTTCCTTGTTACTTTACCAAAAGTAACAAAGTAACAAACTAGCATCTGTTGTTGCTAATTACCAGTAACTAGTAACAGTTTCGTTACTTGGTACTAGTAACAGTAATAGTAAACAGTCAGCTCTAGTGGCAAACAAAAAATGTAAGTTCTTGCTAATTTTTATATTTACTGTAAGGTTGTTAACAAGTAACAAAATAAAATATTAACTCATTATATCAAAACGTGGCTTATTTCACAATCTTTTCAATGACACAAACCCCGACGCTCCTGCTATTTTTGTTATTCAGATATTACACCGAGAGAATTTGACGATGTCCAATACTCCAGCTTTGAGCTTGACTTTTTCCAAAACACACTCAATCTAGTATTACTCTTGCTCGAAGTTTCAAGATCTGTCTACTAGAGATCAGTGAGAGTCGATGTTTCAAGGTTATTATCGTAGGGGAGTTTAGGCCCCCAATACTCTATGAGCTTTTATCCAGTAAAAATGTGAGACTATCAATAATTTTTGGTGTTTGACACGAATCTAATATGTCTTGTTTAGAATAATGGGCGAAAAATGGAAAAACTTTGGGAAATTACTAAGAAAGCACGACATCCTTTTTTTTCTGTTTCAGATTGTCATTCGATTTTTAGCTGGTTTGTTAAGCAAATTATTGAAATACTAACAAAACGTCTCGTTATATTTTGTCATGCTAAAAAGGTGACTTTACTCGTAATTTCTCTATTGAAAAGTTCCACCTCAAACTCATCTGCAAATCAGTAAAGTTAGCAATCCTAATTTTAGAAAACATACTCATATGCTGCCTCACAAGACATTTATACTAGTCCTCTTAGTCATAATTAAAGGATAATTCATTCCAAAAATCGCGTTCCTCGCTACTGGATATATCGTACATCTCTCTTCTATTCTAAAATAACGAAAGAACATTACGAACTGTTTTACTCTGTAGTCGGCGTCTTATCTGTGCGAGAAAGATCTACTCCTTGGAGAGTATATGAATACATCGATTTAGAAGCTTAAAAGTATAATATATTCCCTAATACTTCACGAAAACATGACTGCATTCAATTTGCTTCAGGCAACGTTGTTTCCTTTGAGCTCCAAATAGTAGCTCCAAGGAGCCAGGATCAATGCGAACTGACGTAGATAGTCTCTCCTTGGAGCTAAAAGGAAACAACGTTCAAAGGCAACTATACTAGTGAACGAAAGGTTATGAATTGTTATTATTTGATGTATGATTGGCCAATCAATTCTAAAAGAAAGAAAATGAAAAATAAAATTTACCTGACAACCATATGACTTTTTTCTGGAGACAAGAGAACAAAGAGAACAAACAGATGTTTGGTTTTGCGTGTATTTGTCAAGATTTAAATGCTTTTTATTAGATGATCTCGATTCGATGCAATCTTTGTTAAATCATTCATTTACAGAAAACGAGGCATTTAAATAAATAAATATTATTGAACACTAGTTACAACAGAAAAAGACTTTAAAATTATTATGACACACACACATACAAAAAAGAAGAGGTGACAAAATCACAATGTAATAGTGGTTTGAGACAAAGCCTGCGGTAGTAGATATTTTGTAGCATAAGTTCCACTGTTGATGAATAGAACGGTGATGTTTCTTTAAAAATTGTGGATGATGTTTTCTCCCCATCATCTATTTCTTCTTTCAGAACAACTTTTCTAGTTGTATAAGATAATTCGCTACCATAACCTAAGAATCGTTAAATTACTGTTTTTCCGTTCATCACCGCTATGTGTCTGACTCGTAATTTTTTCATTTTCTCTACGTGCCGTTCATTCCTGGGCACGGTGGTAAACCTTCGTGTTTCTGTACTAAACTATTGTGTTTTGTTATCGTCCATGTCTTCTTTTATTTCTTCTGATCAATGAATACCACTTCTAAACGAATTTAAATTATTCACTCTTATAATAGTCGTTTCTATCTAGTGGAATCAAAGTGAAGGCCTAATAATCCATGTTGATAGTACTAGATGCCATGTACTAGAGCGAGGATGGCCCAATTAGAAAGATTACTAGTAGCTTTACTATAGGTTGATCAATATTATGTTTTCTTGTTTCAGATAATGATCTCTCATCGTAGTTCTCAAAGTCGCTCTTCATCTTTATCCTCTCTCGATCGGGAATTATTTTCATTTTCTCCGCCAAAAGGACAACAATATTCATCTTCACCACTGCCAGTTAACCGTCGTCCATCTCTATTTTCAATAACTCAACATGATTTAACAGATGATATTAAACTTTTAAGAGATCAAACAAATTCTGTAGCTACACCCATCTCTAGTCAACAACAATATCGAATTGTTTCAAATCCATTTGATCCACCGTCAAGTGTTCATCTTAAACAACGTTTAGCAAGTCCAAGTATATTTCAATTGGAAAATAATCAAAATCAAAATACACTTAAAGTAATTTCATTTAATTTCATAACAAAAGTGTAGTCATTGTTACTAACAAAAAACTGTTTCAATTGTAAGACAGTTTCAGTCTTTTTGTGGATATTTTTCATCATAATTACACTTTTTCCACAGCTTGGAAAAACTTCCAGACAATTGCCTGAACATCGCCAACTCCAAAAAAATTCATTTTTCTCAATAAAAAAGTTCATTTATTATTTGCTACTGCCGAATGTATCGGATCTACTTATCATTTGACTCAATAATTGTCCACTGAAAATTAGATAGATCCTGCTGTTTTTTTTGACAATGAAAAACATTTAATTATCTCGAAAAAAAATGTTTATTTTTTATTTTGAATCAAATATCGTATAGTCTAATTTTTCTAACTTATTCAATGTTTTTCTATTAGGAAAATCGTTCATTTGAATGGTCTGTTGAACGACGTGCTGTTTTGAATCCTGCTAATCTAAGTGAACATGTTCTACAAATTGATGCACATCTCTTGTAAGTTGATGTTGTTAAATGTAACAAATATCTGATAAAATGATGGTACATCTCTTTTTAGTAATGAAAATTTACAAGAACGTTATCAGAAAGCAGCTGGTGAATTTTGTGAAAAATTACATTTACCTACGCCAGCTGCCGCACAACCTCAACAACAACCAAACTATGAACGACATAGTAAACATTATATAGGGTCTCTTTTAATCTATATTCTTTGTTTTCTTTTTTTTTTGTCATTTCAGGTTGGTACAATGGTCGATCAAATGACAGTTCTTCATTAGTAGATGTTCGTTCAACAACACCGTTACATAGTCAACAGCGTGATAGTATGTAAACTGATTTTTCTTGTTTTTCAAGATACAACATTATTTTATTTATTTCTTGCATAGAGAGAAAGAGTGAGATTTACTTCTTATTCAATAATCGATACTAAAGAATTTTGTTTTAGTATTCTTTAGTCAATAATATGTTTACTTTAACTATGTACAGTAAAATTTTTAATTTCTTTACAAAATCACATTCCAGTTTCATATAAATAAGAGTTTTATATTTTATTTTCACTATAATGAAAAGACATTTAGTCTATATCATTTTTCTTGTCAATATTTTAGTGGGTTGCCAAACACGTTTATCATTACCTCCCAAAGTCGACATTGAATCAATAATTCAAAGTTTTTGTTCATCAAATAATACATCGGGTACTAATGATAGCACAAGATCATCTCAATTAAATGATTCTCAAATAAGACGAAAATTATTTCACGACGATGAAGAGAATGACAATGATGAACAGATCGAACAAAAGTAAGACAATTCTAGTTAGTTATTTTTAGATAGCTTTTATTTATCCATCTATTTTATACCGATTTCAAACGTAACAAGGATTGTGATTAGAATCAAATAATCGCTGAACGTAGAACAGTTAAATATACAAATAGAAAATAAAAATAAAATATATGTACGAAATCAACAAAAATAAAGTAGTAAACTCATTGCCAAGACAAACCGCTACAGGTTTAGAAGAATGAAAAGAAGAACACACGTTTTGAGGTTGGAATTTTGCACGGCTAGAGTAATATTTATGTGGATACAAAATCCTCATCCAAGCTGAACAATAAATACAGTAACTGCGGAATCCAAAAACAAAACTGTAAGAACAATAAAAAAGAATTTCTAATAGAGATATATAGAAAAAAACAAGAAAAATGATGTATACTCTCAACATCATATCATGTGTAGTTAGAAAAATAATTCATTAACTAGTTCTTGTCCGTACATGTTTTACTATTATTTTTTCGATTTGTATAACTAACTAATCATTTGCTAGATAATATTTTTCGAATAAATAGAATGAAACATCTCGTGGAGCAATACTCTGTTTCTTGAAACAAATAATTTTCAAAATGTTTACTCTTCAATACTTTCCATCATTATAGTATTTCTCGTATACTCACGTGTATATTATTCTAGAGATAGCTCAATATTAAGCAATCATTCATTTAATAATAACAACAGTATCCAACAACCAGATGAATCACGTTCAAGTATAAAATATAGAGTGAAGAATAATAATTGGCTTCACTCACAAAAGGTATATCTCTTCATTTGTTTTCCAAATTTGAACAATATCTTAATGAGAGAACAATGTCAAGAGACAGTAGTTCTTAAAAACCTATATAGTCTTTATTCGAGATGTTACTCTACCATAGATTGTTAATGTACTTTGTAATCTTATAGACAACATTTTTATTTCGGTATTTTTGTTGCCTTCAGGATTATCGTTCATCCAGTCCATTTCGTAATGTTCAAAAATTATTAACTCCAGATTGTTCGCCTATACAACAAAAACAATCAAATAAAACAAATCAGAATAGAAAATTACAAATGAATGAAAATAAACAATCACAACAACAGCCACCAAGTAAAACAGCATTCTTCCTATCTCCAACAGGATTGCCAACCGAGGAAGACAAACCATTGACTGTAGCGCCATTTTTGACACTACAGTCAATAGGTTGTCCTTATCGGCTGACAATCCTGATTTCCAAGCATGTTAAGATTATCTTTTTCTCTTAAACTTTAGCTTTAATTCGTTCAATTACCCGTCCAACTCGCTATAATCATTTTTCCGTCCTCACGAATAGTCCAATGACCATGTCATTTGGTTCACCTCCAATCTCTTCACATTCTCTCAAAGAAGATTCTCTACTGATTAGAAATGGTCAAACACCAAGTAAGATCATTTATTAATCGAATAGTTAGTGTATTTGTTTCATTGATCTCGATATTTAGGTCAATATGCTCGTCAAGTATTAGATAGTGCATTACAAGATTTAATGGAATGCTCAATGTGAATAATCATAATTTTTGTTTTCGTCTTTTCTAGTCAACATTTATTTTCTTCTTTATTCTTTATATAGGTTTGTCCATGCAGTTGTTACAAATAGTTCTCTTTCTTTTTTTCTTATTTTTAATTGATTAATGCTTAGATTTTTGAAAATGAATTTATCTTTTTCTTTTGCGGGGGTGTGAAATAACAAACAATTTTTCTCTGAGATATGTTTGTTTATCATTTTTGTTATTATTTATAATTGTGAAGATATATAGATATTTAAAAAAACACAATGTTTTGAGTAAAAGAAATTGAAATAACAAATTTTTCGAATTTGTTTGGAGCATGCATGAAATACAATACTGGAAGATTGTTTTATGTCCACATATCGTAGTACTTCCTAAAAATTTTTGTATTCAGATTTGTATTCTCCATTTTGATTCGATTCAAAATAACAAAAGACAGAAACGAAAGCAGAAAAAATTTGTTAACAGGTAGAATATTAAAGATCGTTGTTATATATAATAGTGTCAGCTGGTAAGTCATAATTGTACTTATTTATTTAAAACGTTTACTTTTTAAGAAGAATATATATAGATCGAAAGAAAAGATCTTACACACGCACACATTAAAATTTGAACTATAACTTCAAGTGACTTATGATTTGTTTGTATATACAAAATAGAGGACAAAGAAGAACTAAGTGAACACTTTTGATTTTTACTTGATATTTAAAAGAAATAAAAAGTCATCATGACCATTTTAATAAAATGAGAGGAAGAGAGTAAAAAAAGTAAAAATGCATAAAATTGTACTACTCAGATTGAGTATATTGTTGTTATAACACTTATCTTTACTTTACATTTTAGACTATTAATTTAATCTAAAAAGTAAAGTAAAGATACTGGAGGTTAGAGTCTGTGGAAGTTCTCATCTCATAGAATCGAGACACGAAAAAATTTTGTTTGTGAGATAAACACCGCCATAGGACATTAAACAAAAAATAAGATATTTTTCAATTTTTATTACATAAAAAACAAAAACCCCAGTTGTTCCTACTTTTTCCCGTTCTTTCTTGCAGCAACGGCTGTTAGGCGAGTAGAGGATCATCGCAAGGATAAAACTATAATCTGTTCAACTCAAAACAGGAAGAGTAAATGTACGTTTTTTCTCGTAAAAAATATTTCTCACGGGATAGCAGGACGCCTTCGAGAACAATACGAAAACTATTCGATTGGAAACAAAAGAAGTTTTGTTTCGTATATTCCTACCTGGAATGGCTGAAAGGTATCAACCTCATATTTTGAAACTAAATTTGAAGAAATACGAAGTGGTATAGAACGTAACGTAATACTTTCTTAAAGCTGTTGGCTTAAAACAGCTAATGATTCTTTAATCAAGAGATAGTATACATTCATGTTGTCCTCATGAAAACTACTGACTTTATTTTAGTCAATTGTATGATTTTATAACACCTTCAGATCCTATGCAAGTGTTCGGCGGGTAAAATGATTAGTCGATTTTATGTTTTCGACGCCCGCCCATCAAGAGCCAAAATTGACTAGTCGGGATGTCATTTTCCGATGGATAGAGTGATTAGTCGATAACCTGTTGAAATTGATTCAACCCGACTAGTTTTCGACCAGTCGATAAAAAATTTTGAATAATCGATTTTTTTCCGAAATTTTTCATTTGCTTGGGATAAAACAGATTCATTTTGGCTATCATCGAACTTTTAAAAAGAATGCGCTCCGAGAAAATGCTTATAACTTTTCAACAAAGAAAGCTAGAGACCTGCGATTTTCAGATTCTGAAACTAGACACACAGGGACGTAAACCTCTGAAAAAATCATTTGACTCTATAAATTGCGTTTAATTGTAATAGTTTTGGTACTTGTGAGAAAAAAATGAGGTTACTGTATAGTCTTAAAACAATATGCCAAATTCATTATATGGTTTGATTATTTTGGGAATTTCTGAGAAATTTAAAAATATGATAAATCAAGTATTAATTCTTATCCATGTTATCAAACTACTTGTCTTTTGTGAATCATTAAATAAAGATTTGTTGACAAGAACTTCAATAAGATTATTCACAAATAATCGTAGAGAGCTATTGGATCGAGCTATTCGTCGTATTTCGTTCAATTCATCCGTTATAATTACAACAATCCTTCGAAAATGCTTTAGTAGCAGATCCAGGATTTTAGTGTAGATGGAACATCTCACATAATAAGTATGGATGCGTACATATAGCAAAAAATGAAAGTGGGATTAATTTTCTTCAATAGAGAAAAACAAACCTCACTATAATAATATAGTAATATGAGAGCTACTACTAATAGTAATATGAGAGCTACCTATTGTCGTAAAGTTTTCGTTTGTAAAAGTTGATTGTGGTACTAAAATAAGTATAACAAAAATTGCTATAGAAATTCAGTATAATTGTACATTTCAATTTTGACAAAATATCCATCAATTTGCCAGGTGAATGATGCTGTAGATTTTAATAATCACAATAATGCACATTGTGCATTGCACAACTCAACTTCGCTGAGATATGCGGTTTAGAGCCCTTCAGGTGTGAACTTTTTGGCAACCTCCCTAGTGAGTGTACTCAAGTGTGAGTACTCAAAAAGTACTCTGCTAGAAAAACCGGACGAGTACTCATACGTACTCATACATTGTTTTACTCACTGAGCACTCATATGAGTACTCATGAGTGAGTAACGAGTACTGTGGGTACGCCTTTGAGTACTTATACAACTTTCGGCAAAATACTCATGAGTATTTTTCATCTGATATTTTCATATAGAAGAGTGATCTCAGGTAGCCAGAGTAGGACTACAAGTTCAGTCATAGACAAGTCTATCTCTAATTATATACAGAGAGACCAGTGAGAAAATAATAATATAAATATTCCGTGTTTCTTCACTAACTTCTACATTCTTTATACAGCTTCAGTTTAGCAAAATAAAACGGCGAATGAATATTTCCTGAGTACTCACTGAGTAACAATACTCAGAAATTGTTAGTAGTACCAATATGAGTACTCATGGACGAATTATGAGTAAAGTCGTACTCATCGTATGAATACTTCCACTAGGGCTATAACTTAATCTATGAAAAGATTTCGTAATCTAAACCTAGCTTAACATACGAAAATCATAACCGAAACTTAACCTAACCTATAGATAAAGTTTGACCTACAGGCCTCAGATACAATTTTCGAAAAACTCCTATTTTTCAGGTAAAAGCTGCTTTTCTCTGTTTAGAAGTATTTTTAATAAAACAAATACGATAGTAGGAATTACCTTATCAAACTGCATCGGATCATGTATAAAACAATAATTTTCTAGAAAACCTCAAACTTGGCTGTTAAATGTATCAAATAATCGATTTGAACAAGACTGTCTCGCATTGTTCAGAAGAATGTCTGAGTCCTATGCAGGCTCGTAGTCAGGATTTTTGCTAAGGGGGGAATCGACTTTTTTGCCATCAGAGATAGTGTGAAGTCTTATCAACTAGCAACTTTTTCTGACGGGATTCAGTGGAGAAAAATCCTTTTTATCAAAAGTCAAGAAGGGGAACCGGTGCTCCCGGTTTTTTGTGTTAGCGAGGTATGCTGTTTAATAAATTTCTTTCTAACGCGCGTCAGAAAGAAAATCAAGTATGCCAAAATACATAACAATGACGTACAAAATGATTTTTTATTATCGAAACTCTTTTTTTTAGAAATAAGACTGACTGGAAAATTTTCAAGTGATCAATAAAATAAAAAATTGGCTTCGTTATTCTATTATTCTCGTAGTAAATTAATACAACAAATTAAAACCAACACGAGGTTAAAAATTCTGTCGGTGGTGAGAAATCTATTTAATTTCAAATCTCCTATTCCAAGGTTTATTGTACTGATATCTCGAGAGCAATAATATATGATGCCTTTAAATAACATTGCCATATTCTCTCCAAGTTGACGGCTTGTCCACGTAACGCGCTACTTCGCTGATCAAGTTTGTTTTACGTTTTTTACTCAATAAATCGGTAGAGGCACCTCACTAGACGCAGTTTTGCACGCTGATTACGAATCTGACATTTTTTTTTCAAAAAAAGTAGTGTTCATTTAAAAAGTTGAAATTGAAATTTTTTAAAAAGTTTATTTCAGTTTTCTCACCTAGACACTTTCTTTAAAAAAATTGAAATATACACTATCGAATAGAGAATTCGATTCTCTACAAAATGGCTTACTCCGTTTTTGAGTTTTGAGGAAAAAACCGTGAATTATTGTGTCAGAAATGTTACTGCGTAAATCTTGGACAAGCCGTTGATCCATCTCGAATTGAAATAGGTTTCTGAGAGAGCGGAGGACTCACTCACTAGAATAATCTTCCAGAGTCAGTCATTCGTCCTTCTTCTTTATTGTCATATAAAATGGCCCTACCTCAACATCTTTACAGTTGAACGTAGCCATATTTACAGTTAAAAACAAACCCAGTACTGTTAGTCTTTATTTTGTATTTTTTTCTTATTCTTTTTTTCTTATCTCACTTCTTTTTTTTAATTTTATTTTTCTAGTTATAATTTCTTCTGTTGTTGTTTGACTCGAGCCATTATTATTATAGGTTGAATGACTTTTGATGACTCTCATTTTTTATGAATAAAATACTAATACTACTAGGATTTATACCACGTTAAAAACAGTGTTGAAACCTACATATCGGTTCTCTTCCTTCTTTCCGGTTTCTCTTTGTTTTTCGCTAAAGCGGATGAAAAAAAATCCGTTGACTGTTATTTTCTCTTCGTCTGCTTTATATTGGCGAAAAAGTCGGTAAGAAGAAAGAAAACCAATATATGGGTCCCAATTCTAGTTGAAAACAAGAAGAAAATTTAGATAGTTGACACCTTCAGCTTGAAAGAGATTTTATTTAGAATGATTAACGATGAATATCTCATATATCTCTAATGTTAGAATGATTTTCTTGTTGTAGCGCGTCTTATGGCAACATTATCAATTTGAAAAATTCGTTGTTTATCAAAACTTTAAAAAAAACGAATAGTCGAAGAATGTGAGCTTTCTCTTCTGTCACGATGGTTCCGCCACTATAGAACGCTCACTCTTCCCTTCCATTCAGGTTTGCCCCGAAAGAAGAATAACTTTAAGAAAATTGAAAATTGATTGAAATTTCATTGGCTCATTCGGAAACAAATGGCTGTATTTGTGTGACTCATTAAAAAAAAAATAAAGAAGAACAAAAGAACGCGGTATTTGATTAAATAAAATAGATGGAACTTAACACAATCACTTATCTTAATTGATTTATGTTTTAGAATCAAATAGTTATATTATATAAATATTCTTTGCTATTTACACATTAATATGAAAGCGAAATGAGTGTTCATATTTTTGATCATAAACAATCTTTCTAATAGACATTATGAAGTAAAAATGTATTTGTATAACATATGAGAAAAACTTGTCAAAAAGCTTAAATATACTGTCGTTTTCCAACTCGTTTTTTAGCTTGACTTTGTAACTATCACACTACAAGTCAAATAATCAGATGATTCATAGACAAATAAATAAGTGATCAGACGACCTGATTCCTGCTATTGCTTTGAAAGGGAAAGAAAATCAACAAGATGAGTTAGTCACTGATCGACTGATTCGATATTCAGGCATTGATGAACATACATGGAGAAAAGAAAGTTGAAAACAAACAAATAAATTTTTGTTTTTTTTACATGATATATATAGCGTTTACTTTATCTTCTCTGAGAAAAATATAAATATAAATTTCCAAGTGTGAAGTTTACGTTACATTTTTAACTGAATGGATTTATCATTAAAAATTATGATTATAATAGAATATTATGATATTTCAATTCTAGAAGCAGTTTTTATTTTAGTTTCTAGATCGTTTTGAAAGAAATTAAATATGTCTGCTTCGGCTATTTATATTCTGGATATGAAAGGAAAAGTATGTTTATGTTCTAATTTTCTAGTTATTTGATCTCTATAAAATTTTCTTTATTTTAGGTATTAATATCGCGAAATTATCGTGGTGACATTGAAATGAATATGATTGAAAAATTCATGCAATTATTAATGGAAAAAGAAGATGAATCACAGTTATCACCAATTGTTCAACATGGAGAAGTCGCATTTGTTTACATTAAATATAACAATGTTTATCGTATGTAGATCTTTCTAGTTACATATATCATAGATTGAACAAAATAATAGAATAACTGTCATATAGGTAGTATGAGAAAAACTATCATAAAGTTTTTAAAAATTAACCTCAAAGAGCATTTTTAATAAGAACTTTAAACAGTGAACCTTTATATTTTAATTTAATTTTGAGATTGCTTTCTAGTATAAACAGAGTATACATACAGTTTCAACATATACCATATTTACTATTTTATTTTAGTTGTTTGTACGACAAAAATTAATGCCAACATTATTCTTGTATTATCATTTTTGTATAAATGTGTTCGCGTATGTATCGTGCATATATTTCTCTTAATAAATAGATTTAATTCTTTTCTTTCGTTTTGAGGTTTTTAATGAATATTTTAAAGAATTAGAAGAAGAGAGTATTCGTGATAATTTTGTTATTGTCTATGAATTATTAGATGAATTAATGGATTTTGGATTTCCACAATCGACTGATAGTAAAATATTACAAGAATATATTACACAAGAAGGACATAAACTAGAAGATGTACGACCACCACCGGCTTTAACACATACTGTCAGTTGGAGATCAGATGGAATTAAATATAGAAAAAATGAAGTGTTTCTAGATGTTATTGAGTCCGTAAATCTATTAGTAAGTAGTTTTTATATCGCAATTGCTCTCGAATTATTATACATGTGAGTTGATTGCCATGTTAAAACAATTCTTTAAACTTGCATACACTACAATAATTTAAATTATAATTAAACTTCAATTATTTGCTTTTTATAGTTGTACTACTCGGCGTAGCTGGCTAACTCTGCTACCAGAAAGGAATTCTGTAACGTTTTTTCTTCATTTTGTTGTGTCGATATATACCAAAGCGAACCACACAGAGAGTCGCGAGACGTTTTAAATTGAAGAGAAAAGCTTTGTGAACGTTTTAAAAGGTATCTGCACTCTAGAAAATGCCCTTTTCTGATAATCATAATAAAACGTTGAGTACTACTTTCCAAAAATTCAAATTCTTCATAATCGAACAGTAGTGCTCAATATTTTATTGCGGTCCTCAGAAAGAGGCATTTTCTAGGGTGCAGATACCTTTTAAAACGTTCACAAAGCTTTTCTCTCCAATTTAAGACATCTTGTGACTTCCTACATGGTTCAGTTTGGTATATATCGACACAACAAATGAAGAAAAAACGTTACGGAATTCCTTTGCGGCAGTACGAGTTAGCTGGCCACGCCGTACTGTCTTTTGATAAAAATTCATTTAATACTTTATTTATTTATCTATATTTTTAGGTTAGTTCGAATGGTAACGTGTTGCGTAGTGAAATTAATGGTTCGATTAAAATGCGTGTATATCTTAGTGGAATGCCTGAATTAAGATTAGGTTTAAATGATAAAATATTATTCGAGTCTACTGGACGTAAGTGAATCTCATAACTATCTTTTGTTTCATTCTTTTTAGATCGATTTTCGTACTTTTATAGGTACAAAGAACAAGGGTGTTGAATTAGAAGATGTTAAATTTCATCAGTGTGTTCGTTTATCTCGTTTTGAAAATGATCGAACAATCTCATTTGTACCACCTGATGGAGAATTTGAATTAATGTCTTATAGATTAAATACACAGGTGACTTAGTGAAGAAATTTATTGGCAGGACTTTATTAATCAATGAATCACGTATGATTGCAGCTGAACTATAAATATGAATAGTTCAGCTGCAATCATACGTGATTCACAGGTGACTTAATTTTGCTTTCAAATTATAATATAATGTTTTTCAATTTTGAACAATATAATGCGATAAATGCGAGGAATTGATTTTTACATTTGAATGTCATTATTGTTTCCTCATTTTAGGTAAAACCATTAATTTGGATAGAATCTGTTATTGAAAAACACGAACATTCCCGCGTAGAGTACATGATTAAAGCCAAATCACAGTTTAAACGTCGATCAACAGCGAATAATGTTGAAATTTACATTCCCGTGCCATCAGACGCCGATACTGGTCGATTTAAAGCAACATCTGGAAATGTCAAATATGTACCAGAAAAAAATTCAATGATTTGGACCATCAAATCGTTTCCAGTAGGTTTCGTCATTTTGAGTATTCATTATAATGTCTCTTTTCCTATTTCTTTGAAATTTACAGTTCAAACTTGAGAGTTTTTCATGCTCTGCTTTGAATAGTATATCATCTCTTTCTGCCCGGTTATGTGAGTCCAAATCAAGATCATGGAAAACTTGTATCATGATGAGAATTCTGTATCAACAGTGAGAATATATAAAAGTGTACTATTTAGTCTCCATTATGTGTTAAATTACAATTGACGATATTAAATTACACTTTCATCTATATTGTTTGTTTTTATAATTATGTTAGGGTGGAAAAGAATTTTTAATGCGTGCTCATTTTAAACTGCCAAGTGTTTTGAGTGAAGATTTAGAAGCTAAACCGCCTATTCAAGTCAAATTTGAAATTCCATATTTTACAACATCTGGAATACAAGTATGTCTTTCTCTACAAATTCATTATTGTTTTTTTTTTTACAAACATCTAACTTAGCTATTTTCTTTTATTAACTATGACTAGGTTCGTTATTTGAAAATAATTGAAAAAAGTGGTTATCAAGCATTGCCATGGGTTCGTTATATAACACAAAATGGAGATTATCAAATTCGAACATCGTAGATTTCTCACAAAATGATCAAAATTCAACATATGTGCTTCGTTTTTTCTTTCGTTTCTTAAATAAGGTCCGTATTTATATTTATTATTATTATTATTATTATTATTATTACTATTATTGTATCGTTGTATTACTACTACTAATACCATACAAATAAATAAAATTCCATTTTTTTGTAATATTTTGCAATAGTTATGAATTTTTAAACATAAATTTTTTTCACTGGAATAATCAAGGTTAAAATATGCCAGTAGCGCAACCAGAATCTATTGCTTTCGAACAAATCTCTAATGTTTTATCATTTGTTTCTATCTTTTAATGTCTTATGAATCTCTGGTATTATCGAAATAATATGAAATTTATAAAGCGTCAGCCATATGTCTTGCACAAAATACAATGCGTGATAATTTAATTCAAAATTAGAATTTCCATAAGTTTATATTGAACTTGGTCGACAAGAAAATCGATGGATTATCTCTGTACTATAATTTTCAAATTCATTATCAGGGAAAACACTTGAAACTGTACATAAATTCAGGAGGATCTCAAGGATCTCTGTTGTAGAATCAATATGCGAAATACAAAGTCTGTTGACTACCGGCTATTTTCCTCTCTGTATTAGAGATAATTGATACTAGTTGAGAATACTAATATTCTAGAATAATCACCCTAACTACAGATACTAATTGAGAAATAAAAATTTTCGTTTGTACGGATATATTCATTCACAAGAAACTATCCGTATATTTTGTTATGTCTAAGCGGAGTCAGTTTCAGCTAAAATTTTAGAGGTATAGTAGGGATACACTATAACGACATACCCCACCAGACACAATCGTGCAACAAACTAACAGTTCATTTTATATCTCTTCAGTCCATGTCAAGATTCGCTTTAAACAAAGACTATACTAACCTGATGGTTCACTAGATGTATGCTCAATGTGATTTTTTGGTATCATCAATATTTTGTAAAATTTCTTGTTGAATGATGTTAATTCTATCTGATGAATGAAGACCTATTTTCATGAATTCTAATAAATAAACGAAACTTATATCTAACGTAGTAACAAAATAGTCTTAAACTTTTTCAGAACTTAAAATAATATTAGATTTTTTGATATGGTCAACCTAAAATAATTTAGCTAATAAACCAGGAGATTAATCTTTCGTTATTGCTTTATGTCGGCTTTGCTGGTTTAATAAAATTTCTTTCTATTTGCCTTTAATTGGTTTGAATACGACGACATCCATCGGTTGTACAACGTGTGTCGTGTTAAGTGGTAGACTAACAAAAATGATTTATTCTTGCTTTGTTAATTCTATTAATCGAACACTTCTATGCGAGCTGCGACCTTCAGTATTAACAAAATTTTAATAATAATATTTGTAATAATTTTGGTTTTGGAATATCGTTAGCATTAGACAAAAATATATCGATGATATGATATCAAATGACTATAGATCCGACAGCTCCTCTTTGATCACGAACTTAAAACTACCAGACCTTGCTCAAAGAAGAAAATTTTTCAGGTTAATCTTCTTTCACAAAATTATTACAGGACGTAGTGCACTTTCGCGCTTTTCGTTAGTACAGCCTCTTACAACTAGAACTTCTTTGCGAACCTCTAATCGATGTCTCTGGCAGGTTCCCTTGTTCAAACGTAAAACTACTAGATCTTCATTTTTACCAAAAACTATAAAAGAGTGGAATCAATTACCAAGAGAAGTGATTGCTGCCTTTAGTGCCCGAGCTTTTAAAAGTGCATTAAAGAAACATCTTGTTTCTTAGAGTAGTTAATAGTAAATACTAAGCCATATTCTATTTACTGTGCCATTTTTTTTTCTACTGTTCAAACTGTTTTTGTTTTTTATTTTTTACTGGGGATGACCTAGACAAGTTCCTTGTTGAACTTCTGTCATTACACTGTCATTTTATTAACATCATGGACTAAAATGAATTGATTAAGGGTTAACTATTGATAAAAGGTTTCGTCTTCAATAAGAGCATTTCCAAATAACAAAAACATCTTAGAAAAACAAAAATGTTCTGCATATCAGACAGATAAAACAATCATTTTATTACAAATCTACTCAAACCCCGAAGTTTCTATCACATCACCATTGCTGATGGTTTAGTAGACTTCTATATTATGCTTGAAAACACTAAACAATTACTCACTTTTGATTTGAGAAATTAATCATCGATTCTCGAGAAATTCTTGATTTTCTGTTATAACTTTGTCACGGATAGGTAAATTACACAATATAAAAGGTGCTTCGAACAAATATAACCGCTAGTTATAAAACTATTTGAATAGAAATCTAGTCTGAAAAATATTATTTATTTGTTCGTTCGTTATTTTAAGAAAAATAAGAGATAGTCTATTTTTCTTTTTTTATTGTGGTTGTTGTTGTGAAATAGATTTTGTGGAGACCATCATAATTTTTTATCGTTACATTTTCAAATGTTGAAGCTACATGGCAACACAGGTTATCGACCACGCTGATTATCTTGGTAACATTTTTTTTTAATCATAACTCTTCATATTCTATCGGATGTTGCATGTATCACTTTGACTTGATTCCAGTGGAAAATCACATCTTTAGACCCAACGTCAGTTGAACTTCGAGAACGAAACAAATGTTACCACGATAATCAGCGTAGTCGATAACCTATGTTGCCATGTGGTTTCAACATTTGAAAATGTAACGATAAAAAATTATGGTGGTCTCCACAAAATCAGCGCCATCAGCAATGGTGATGTGATAGAAACTTCGGGGTTTGAGTAGATTTGTAATAAAATGAGTGTTTTATTTGCCTGACATAAAACATTCATTTTTTGATTAAATTCTATTTTTTCTATCGATGGTTTTTCAAAGGTTTTCTAGAAACCCAATAGAAAACGTTTTAGTAACTGGATCCGACTCTGGGAATGTTTATTAGTTTAAACTACATGGTTTAACAAGTTCAAAGCGAACATCAATGTAAATTTAACTTATCATCTCAGTTTACTAGAGAAAATCTCTTAAAAACCTTGGTTTTTCTTAAGGATCTTCTAGAAATCTTTTAAAACAAAATGATTTTTTCACTTAAAACTACATTTTTAAATAGAAAAAAATTTTCTCTATCCAATGAACGTATTCAAAAAGAATTCCATTTATCGGTGAATTTTGAATAAAGATGCCCCTAAAACTTGGCAAGTCAAAATTCAGGTTTCCCAGAATCACATTATGAACGTCAAAATCAAAGGAAACTAATATCATCAATAGATTCAGCATGTACGGAAACCTCTAGACTTCGAGGTTTAGTTAATCGCCATACACCCGCTAGAAACTGCATCGATTTTTCTCGTATTGGAAGTGCTCTCATTCATCCAGTAGTTGATGTATTGTATCTATCACATATGGAAGCAGGAATATACTTGGGAACCAAGCGAGTAAAAACTCCTATCGAATTTTATCCGATGACCCATTAAGACACCAATGAGAAAATAATCAGCTTTTTTAATATGCGACATACATTGGTTGACCATTCAAAAATGGTTTCGAATACCCCAAATACGGAGAAACTTTAAGCAAGTAATCCTGATTTACCCTACACGACTGTGTATAGTCTTTTTCAGATATAAAATAAAATAACAATAATAGAAAGTATAAATTTGTCCTAGATTTGAATGTATCTGAAAAACTAACAGGAATGTTCATGAAATGTTTACATCAACTTGTAAACCTTGCTAGTATCGAACTTTTCTAGTTAAAAATGCATGAAAGATAGCGAAAATATGAACAAAATTTCAAGAACTGACTGCTTTTTACTCCATAGTCTTTTAAGCAAAATTGGAGAAGGGGTAAGGGAGCATGTCAAAATGTATTCCGGTCGGTCGGTCGCTATTCCTCTATTCCGCACACAACATTTCGTTTTCTAATAACTTTATATACATGTATATAGGAACTTCGTTTTCTTTTCTAATTTAATCTGATTAGATTAGTTTGATTATTTCTCCAAAGACAACTGATCACTATGTTTCACTTACATCATTATAGGAGCAGGCATTTTTATAGGAGCACTGATCTATTTTTTTAGAAAGGGACGCAATGCAGTCTTTTAGAAATATGGCTGTGAATATCGTGGGTTATCGTCTGAGAAAGTAAGTTTCGAGAGAGGCAAAAGAACTCTCTGCAAGCCGCGTTAGGAAAAACGTGCTTTTTTAAGCGATAATCAACGATATTCACAGCCATATTTCTAAAAGACTACATTGCGTCCCTTTCTAAAAAATAGATCAGTATCATGTACAGCTCGTGTACTTTAAACTACTATAAGAAAAGGGGAATGGATCTTTTCTAATCAGTAAAATTTCAGTTAGCAAAGTTAGTACAATACAAAATAAGTTTAAAGTGAGCACTCCCTCTTATAGAGTATATAAACATGAACATTTCATGAAAATATAAAATTTGCTCCTTTCTGATTTTATTCTTTAAACAGAAACACAGAAAAATGCTTGCTCCTATAATGACGTAAGTGAAACATAGTGGTCAGTTGTCTTTGAAGAAATAATCAAACTAATCTAATCAGATTAAATTGGAAAAGAAAACGAAGTTCCTATATACATGTATATAAAGTTATTAGAAAACGAAATGTTGTGTGCGGAATAGAGGAATAGCGACCGACCGACCGGAATACATTTTGACATGCTCCCTAAGGGAACAAGCGTGAGTATATGTGAACTTTCGTCTGACCTTAAATTTAGGATTACCTAGGGTTGACCAATAACTAGAAGAAAGAACATCATAGTAATTTCATACAACATTAATTGTAACGGTATAAATTCTTACAGCTCCGAAAATAAATGGAAATAACGAATTCTGCATCAACTTTTGTCAGGTACACATGGGTATTTTTCCGATTGCAAAAACGCCTCTAAACGCGATTTCCTCCTGACAAAGCTTCTCAATCGCGCAAAATTGCGTTTTATTAGGAAATCTCGATTAAGCAATGCACGCA